GGGGGGGGGGGGCGCATGGCCTCTATTTTTCAGGGGGGGTTCGGGTACGGGTTGAGGATCGGGTCTATGTGTACTGCACTCTCGAACTGTCTCCTGACTATAGCTACTGTGGATTTTCAGTATACAGCTATCCTCACTCATCGCGTCTATGTGTCCGGCGATTCCAATACAAATCAGCCTGTGAGATTTCAGTATGCGGCTATCCTCACTCAATGCGTCTATGTGTCCGGCAATCTCCAATACAAATCACCTGTGACGTTTCAGTATGTGTCTTTCCTCACTCAAAGCGTCGATGTGTCTGGCACTATCCAACATCACTCAACTCGTCAGGTTTCAGTATGCAGCTATCCCCACTCAACGCGTCAATGTGCCTGGTAATCTCAAAAATCAATCCATCTGTGAGGTTTCAGTATGCAGATATCCTCACTCAACACGTCAACGTGTCCGGCAATCTCCAATACCAATCAGCCTGTGAGGTTTCAGTATGCGGCTATCCTCACCTAACACGTCGATGTGTCCGGCAATCTCAAACTCACTCAACCCTTGAGGTTTCAGTGTACAGCTATTCTCACTCAACACGTCTATGTGCTAGGCAATCTCATACATCACTCAACCTGTGAGATTTTCGTAAATGGATATCCTCACTCCACTCTTCCATGCGTCACGCGTCGTTGATAGCGCATACTATGGGGGCTACATTTGGGGTGGCGTGGTTTACAGCGCTTTGCCAACAGCGCCGACCCGCAGAAGGATGGACGGGGGGAAGGCGAATAGATCGCGTCGCGTCTCGACGGGCCGTTATCAGTTGCTGTTGATGTGTTGTCCCAGCAGCAAGGCTGCAGAACCTACTACCGCGCTACCCGATTATTTTCACAAACCACGGTCCCGAGAGAGGGGTAACTGTAAGTGGCGTGCTGAACGAAGCAAAGCGCAGCATGCACAAGCAACCTGCACCATCCTTGTTGATATGGAAACGCTGAAAATACGAAAAACGAACTTCCAAAAAACTCACCGTCTTACGTGCTGCTGCCACCCCAATGCCCCCACATTCTTTCCCTGTTCCCGTCTCAGCGGCATACCGTTGGCGCTTGCACGGCTCATTTGTGGGGCTGACAATCGAAGTACGTATTTGCAGGCGATGGCCAACAAATCACCATGGGGATTTAACAGTTGTACAAGTGTCACCGAGCTAGAACACTGTTGGGGCAAAGATGGCGCTCAGTCGCCCCTCGATTCACTTCACTCGAAAAGGTGCAGCAGGATGGATGTGATGAGTTATAACATCGTGAGTGTACCACTGAAACCTACGTTTGCTACGTAATGGACGCAGCCAAAGTCAGAACGTTCGCCAATGAAGGTGAATCCTATCGACGAAGAAAACAGGTTTCAATGGGTGGCCCATGGGACACCTCATTAATGGGAAAATAGCGGTGGGTCGCAGGGCTTTCATAAAAGCCATCGAATGATCAACGACAATACGCCAGGCGTAGCGGCATGCATTGAGCTACATGCCGTCGAACCTGCGGGACTCCCCTGAGATGGTACGTGTATTTTAACACGACACTACACAGATGCAGTAGTGCCATAGAGAGACGAGCGAGCTCCAAAGCATGCCCGACACCCACAGGTGTACGTACAGAGGAAGACTGCCTGGCCGATTATGCACCAACCTGTGTTTCATGCTGTGGTTCCGAATCTGAACGCCTAGCAGAAAGCACCAAGGGTGTTTTGGGCCTGGTGTCGCCCCTCCTTCGGGGATTCTGAGACATCCGTCAACGAGCGAGCAAACACCCACTCTCTTATGTACAAGGACTCCTCGGACTTGTGTCATGGTGTCTACATTTAACGCGACCGGGCATCATCAGTCGGCATATGCATCTCTT